CAACTATCTACCCATGACCAAGAAAGAAAAAGTAAGAATAGGAAAATGAAAGAAAGAGATTTTATATGAGAATACCAATTTAACCTACAAGTACATAATGTCCTAATTAACATATTCAGTTTTGATCCAACAGATGATTTTTTTATTATCTCTCACTTGACTAGAATYGAAAACATCTAATTCTACCCTGAAGCTGAAAAGAAAAAGATATTGTTTGAAAAGATTAATACGCACTAACYGACTGAAATAAGTCTACATTTTAACCTATATTGTTGTTTTTCAACTTATGAACTGAAAAGGACAGCTGTCCTTGTTTATCTACTTCCTTTTCTCCTCATAGAAAAAGATACAATGGAGGTGTGGGTTAATGGAAACGTAGTGGAAACAGCTGTAAGTTATAATTCATTTTTKCTAGTAAATTATATGTGATTTGAAATGGACAAAAGTGTAGTAAGATGCTCACAACATCTGTTGCCAAGGTAACAACATTGACAATAGTGTTCTGTTCACTTCAATGTCAACTGAAATGGAAAATATTGGGAGTCTATCATTTAACAAGGAAGGCATGAATTGTTATTCACAATTATTATTATTTACAATTATTAGTGTATTTTTTTGGGGGAGGGAGGGGATTATTAGGGGGATTATTAATTCTAATTTACGTAGGTTTKCATGCTTGATCTCCCCCTACAATCTTGTACAAAGGCTACTTCTTTTAGATATCTTCAAGCATACAGAGTTAGATTCCAGCGCCAGCTTGCTGTGCTTCCAGACAAATGACTACACCATATCATGCCTCTGTTAGTTTTATATTCTTGTCATTTTAGTCTACATTTCACATGTTATACCTTTCTTTTAGGGGGAGTTTGTTGATGATGGAACAGAAACCCATTTCTCATTAGGAAGACATAACTGTCATATAAAAGCTGCAAGTACAGGAAGAAAACGGGATGGAATAATCCATTGTCTTATAATTGATGATAATRAAGTCCCAGAAAATATTGATGAATAGATCGTGATTGTTAGTCTTCAATGAGGCAGGAAATGTGAAAAATCAAGCAGATCTTCTCCTAGAATTACTGTGGTACTGTATGAAAACAGTTTATAATATTACACATGTCTACACTAATCAACAGTGCAAAAAGTAGCCAGTACTGTACATAAGAAATCAACATGCAATGTCGTATAAAACGAGGAATAATAAGTGTCAGTTTGAAAGCAATAATGGTAATTGGGTAATATGATGGTAATTAAACTATGTAATAAATTTACTAGTGACAGATAAGAGTTAAAGGTTGATGTCTTAAACTTGTTATAAGTCTACGACAGTGAAATTGTAACTGAAGGATAATATCAACAATATAATAAAAACTTTTTCTTCAAATTGTCTAATGCAATAAGCATTTTTATTTGATTCATATATATTTTCATATATTTTAAGGGATGTGCATATTTCTTGAATCTTTTTAAAGTGGAGTTCTACTAGTCTACCAAATGAATAATTCTAAATTCTAAGTTATGAGCTATAAAACCTTACCCTGGTCCCAGAGGTTTGATATTTTCTCTCTTCGCTATTGTTTTTGTTGGCGCGAAGCGCCTTTATCGAGCGCGCCAACAAAAACAATAGCGAAGAGAGAAAATATCAAACCTCTGGGACCAGGGTAATAAAACCTATAAAAATCTTCACTTTGACCACCAATTAAAAATTACCTAAGTTGTATAGTGAAGGAAAAGGACCAGAYGTCTGCAACCTAAAGATGATGAAAAGGCAAAAAATGAAGAGAGCTTAAGTAGCCCTAAAATTGGTTTGAGTGGAGGATCCAGTAGTGTGGCCAGATTTACTGTTAAACATGTTGTATACAAGAAAACAGGAAAATGTTTACTGAATAATAACACCAAGATGGTTATGGGTATTAACAATTATATATATATATTTTATTGATGAATCAGATATATATTAAAGACTGCTTACATTTCTGGAAGATTTGTATAATTTATAGTTTTACAAGACTACCAATATTTTATTATTCTAAATTTACAAATTCAGTACTGTGTATTAGTTGATTATGATTTCTAAAAAACCTTTAAAACCTCCACGTTTTGGCCACCAATTAAAATCCATTAAAAATGCCCTAAGTTGTATCGTACAGTGAGGGAAAAGGACCAGGTGTCTGTAACCTAAACATGAAGAAAAATAAAAAATAAAATGAAAATAAATGCAGTAGCTGGAAGCATTTAAATGAGCTACTTACCAATTCTGTTCACTATATTTTGCATCTCCATCAATCATGTGAAATGAGTAGGCATGCCTAGACTTTGAAGAAGTATTAGCAAAGCTTCTGTGTAAAACTGAACCATGAATCAGAACCAAACAACCTAAGTGCATCAAAGAAAGACAGTTTTTACCAATGAATTTTATCAAGGACACTAGGTTGCTAACGCACATCATACAATTTAATTAGTACCTTTTTTTGTGCAAGCAATTTTAAAATCATTTTCATCAAACACATGGTCAGGACCCACATGTTCCACAACGCGGTCTGTTTTGTCAGGAGTTCTTATCAACCTCCGCTTAATTTCTGTGACTAACAACAGAAAACTCAACACATTAGGTAGGTGAGGTAAAGATCTGACAACCCAATTAATACCACAAAAGTGGTATACACGAGGAAGCCCCAAGTGTGATTCAAATCAAGGGAAGTTCCATTATTTGTAGCAAGTGTTGTCTGCTAGCCTGTGTACATCCRTTTTTTCCCTCGGTGGGAAACGGATGTACACAGGCTAGTTGTCTGCATGAGGAGGKGTTGTCCAGGTGGAAGCAGGGGGGATTATTCCAGAACTGGATACTGATCCTTTTTTTTACAATGGAGGGAAGATAAATAGATGTTTTGGTCAAATGATAGTCTTTGAACATCAGAAAAGTTCACAATGAACTCCCAAACCCACAGACATAGTCTTCAAAATATGAAACTAATTATTTGTCAGTGAATTATCAGTTACATAAATATTTGAAAGCATAAATTTACCCTTATGGGATCCTGGTAAAAACCACAAGCAACCATTGTCTTTAGTGCAGTCTTGCAGTGGTATCCATACACCAAGGGCACTTGGTGGTTCAGTGTACAAATAAGTTGAGTCTCTGTGCGGTAACACTGAACATGCATACATGTGTCATTTGAAAAGATGGRTCAGATTGCAGGAAAACAATTAAMTTCACTTGATTTTGAAGCACAAGTTATATATTATGCAATTATCTATATTTATGCAATAGACCCCTTGCATGTGACATCAAAGAAGTTTTATCTGGAGGACAATAATTAAACAAAAGATGTTTACCCCCTTGGGAACTATATATTCCATTGGAGTTTTTTGTCCTCCAGTTATAGCTGTATTCCCATGAACTGCAAGAGGTCTATATATTGCACAATAATATGCAGATTTGACTCTTCCACATCCTCCTGTTCAGTCTGTGAAAAGACTTAAAATAGAGCAGGAGATGAGGGTCATTCCAGTGTATTTACCTTCCCCTCCAATGCTTGGTTGCTGAAAATGTTCAAAACACTGAATTAAATATTTTTTCATTTGTTTTGAATTATATTATATTGTGATGAGTGTAATAAACAATAATTTTTATTGAAAAATGCATATTGACATAATGAATGAAAAGCAAAAAAAAAGGAAGAAAAAAATCTTTATTTCACTCATTCTTTCAATAATTTCTGCACTTTATCATAGCAATGAAATCTTGCTCAGTTGTTACCTATCAGTAATTGATCAATACTTGTATTATTGCTTAGCATATTAATAAGTTGTAATAGTCATAGATTACCTTGAATATGTACATGCTCTGAGGAATAACTGGGTTCTTAAGATCCAACGATCTGGCAATTGCCTGTAAGAGAACATAGAAAAAAAGGAATTGCCAAGTTGAGCAATAAGTGATGACGATGTYACCATCAAGAAATTACCTTAATTCTATCAGAAAATGTGATGTCTTTAAAAACAGGATTGAGCACGTGCAAAGCTGAAAAGGTTGAACAAATTATTGTAATGCTACCCTTGATTCATTGATTGAAAAGTCAAATGAACAAAAAGAAATACCAGATTTACCAGATTCTACTAGCAAATTGAATTAAAGGTGACTGTGAATTGAATTGAGTCTTGACTACTTTACTAGAAACTCCATAGATAAATATACAAAGTCAAGTTCTGTCATGTCCCTTCTGATTAATGATAAGATCTGATATATCAATTATCTATRTACAACCTACCATGACCCACTTTGTTGATACACAAATGCTTATCTTTCACAAGTTCACCTAAAATCAATTACATGTAAACAATGATTCAGAACATGGCATAAAATCTAAGGAATATGTTATAAACATATATTTAATATCTAGATTTTTAATAATTACCTTTATCATTAAATGCACCCTTTTCAAGAAAAGCTCTTATTTTGTCAGAACTAGACAGAAAATAGTCATCTCCAACCTGAAAGGAAATGACGTCCAGCTGTCATCTGTTATAGAATGGATATGTTTGGAGTTCATCAGGCCGGAGGCTTTAGCACTTTGTTTCCTACTTTTTTTTTACAAATATTTGTCATTTTTGGTGTTTGCTCAACTACAATGTGGATGGAAATGGATAGATCAGGAGTCCGCAAGACTTTCCTTCCTCAGAGATTATTTTCTTGTGTTCTTTTTGTACATATAAGATTATGAATTSACTTCAAGTTTTTTTTTTGTTATATTGAYATTAAAAAATTAATCGATGAAAATAGATGGTCAAAAATTAATCTAATTATGGATACCAATCAATGAAATTAGCTAATTAAAATATTGATTATCATCGGTTAATCAATCATTAATCGACGAAGTTGGGACACTAATTACATGGATTAGTATTGATTAGCATYGATTGACATGATCATCTATCACTGTCCGCAGTATGGTATTGATGCATGGAATCTCGTCACAAGAATCACAGGAGTAGCTTTCTTTTATTTAGAATTATCAAGCACTTATTTTGAATTGAAACAAATAAAAAAGACGTTCAAAATAAGTATGTATATATCAAGCGCATACTATTTGCTAAATGGACTCGCTAAATTACTTGATAACTTGCCCATGATAACGATCAATGATAATGTACGATTGATTACTAATCGATAATAACAATTAATGATAATCGCTGATTGATTACTAATCGGTGATAGCAATCAATGATAATTGATGATCGATTATTAATTGATAAAAGGTCACAACGTCCTCGGTCATCGATTTCCAATATCAATCGATTGATTAATATCGATTAGTAATCGTCTACATCGATTAGCATTGATCATCGGTATTATTTATCCCGGTACGGTATTATCGATTAATCACGCAGGCAGCCCAGTCACATTGGAAAATTACAGTAAACTCAAGTGTGGTCATCCTTTTAAGACAAGCAAAAGCACAAGCTTTATAATAGGAAATAACCTGTTCGTTTCCTGTTTTAAACACACTCATTGGATCACGATTTAAATCCAACTTGTCCACGATGTCATGCATTTCTTTTCTGAGAGCTTCCACCTCATCAGCGGAGTAGAAATCTTCGATGATAAGGTATCCATCGTCCTCAAACTGAAATCATAGAGTTTCGTGAACGATGTAAAACATAATTCACATCTGTAAATCATTATTTGGTTGTTCCATAAGGATTCTTACTTGTTTTATTTGTGATTGAGTAAGACCACACTTCTCCATGGCGCGAAAAGGTCACCAGAAATAACGCAACACAGGGAGACCAGAAATGGATAATATTACGATCGGCTCTTTTGTACCATCAGAATAAGGGACTTATTGCAGAGTGTGTTCCCTTATTGTAGTGCATTACCTGGAACTTTGGAACTGATTGGGTTTCTTGACGATGCTTTCCAGGGCAAGATCTGGGCTTAGCAAGTTAACGAATTTTTCTCCAGCTGTCTTAAATGTAGCTGTAAAAGGGAAACATACTCTCCCTGACCTGGCGTACGACTACGATGCATTGGAGCCGACAATAAACACTGAAATTATGCGCCTCCATCACAGCAAACACCATGCGACCTATGTGAACAACCTTAACGTTGCAGAGGAGAAATATGCAGAGGCGATGGCCAAAGGTAGTTAAAGATGTGAAGACAATATAGTTTTGAAAACAAAACACTTTTCTTAATTCAAAAGCAAATAAGGGCACTTTTGATGACCCAGTCAAAGTCACTCAAAAATAACCTTAACTAAAATACTTTGAAAGTAAGTTATGCACTTCCTAGTATGCAACGTGTTATAAAAATGTTGTAATGATTCCTGTAGAAATTAGAGAAATCTTATGTAACTTTATGATAAATTTCCATAACGCCATGCATGCAATATCACCACAGGAATCCCATATCATATGTGGTATTGAATTTATCAAAATATTTTGATCTGTTTTGATTTGTGCTTATATGGCTGTGCTTATGTGACTGTACACATTTTGATAATAGTGAATCATAATTCTTTCTCTAACATTATAATGTCTTTTTAATGTTTAGGTGACACATCAGCAGTCATAGCATTACAGCCAGCTTTAAAATTCAACGGTGGTGGGCATATCAATCACACTATTTTTTGGACGAATTTGTCTCCTAGTGGTGGTGGTGAGCCTACAGGTAGGTGACTAGAAAATCCCTAGGAGGGATGTAAATGTCTTTTCCTTCTCAAAGTGTCCCTTGTTAAATTTTATAACAAAAGCCCTCTCTAGTGTGAAGATCTCACAAAAATATAAAATACAAAAGAAGATATAAAAATGTTGTCATTTTAATAGCCCAACAACTTGGATTTGGGGCTGAGCTGAATTATTTTCCCAAAAGACCTTAAGTCCAAGCCCTCAGGGAATACATACAGTAGGTCTACAATCCCTCAAGTAAAAACAATCAAATTTTTATAACTATCTTTGCTGTTGTCTTTATGTAAGAGGGTCATTTTAAAGGGTCAAGTAAAACAGTTGTCACTTGCCTTGTATATCTGACAAAGTTTGCATTCATTGTACTGGTCAGAAACATGAAATGTTATTTCATTATAGGTGAACTGATGGAAGCCATTAAAAAGGACTTTGGTTCATTTGAAAATTTTAAGRAAAGATTTAATGCTGCAACAATCGCAGTGCAAGGTTCGGGATGGGGATGGCTGGTAGGTGGTGAATATTTTTTCATGTGTTCTTGTATATTTATATATAAATTGATCATTTATTTTACTGTAATCAACTCTGAAATTTTAAAAAAGAAGTTTGCTAAGCTCAACTGTTTTTTGTTGTTAGGGATATGACAAAGTAAACAAAAGACTTGCTATCAGCACTTGTTTTAACCAAGATCCTTTGCAAGCAACTACAGGTTAGCTTCCATAGCGAAATCATTTTTGCAGTGTAACTATTAATGCTTATAGAATAGTATTTGCTTTTTTCAAGTTTATAACGACATTATAGTATCCTATAAGTTAGCTATGCTACAGTGTAGCAGTGCATTTAGCATTGGGTCAAACAGATTCTATCATTTTTTAATGAATGATTAACAAATTATATGGATTAAAGCTTATTATCACACATTGGCAAGCTTTTCTTGTACAATCTAAAACTCTCTCCTTCAATTTATATCAGGCCACATTCCATTGCTTGGTATTGATGTGTGGGAGCATGCCTACTATCTCCAGTACCAGAATGTTCGACCAGACTATGTGAAAGCCATTTATGATGTTATAGACTGGACCAATGTTGCTGATCGATACATCGCTGCCGCTAGGTAGTCAAGTTGTACAATATGTGATAGAAYGGCAACCACCACAAGTGCGGTTATTGTGAATTTTATTACTACCAATTTMTGTATTGGTGTTTGTATTCCATAAAGGATATTTTGTCTTTGTAATGTATGCWCGTCAATAAAGTGTCAATAAAATCAAACCAGGATTACATGCATAATATGTTGCTTTATTATCATCGTTATTTTTGCATTTAATTTTACAGAGCTGTCTCAATGTAGCTTTACTTTCATAAGGTCTGGTAATAAGCTCAAGGTTACATTGTGAAATTAAACCATTTTTGTACATGCACTGTACAAATKTTGTTATTTTTGGTCCAGATTTAAAAAAGTATATTGTATTTTCTGTGAGTCCATACACATGTACACTCCTATGTAATTGTTTAATATATAATTTTCATTATAATTCCAATTCCCTTGGTCCAAGTGGTAAAAAATATGAGTCAACCTTTTCATCTGATACTTTGTCAAGACTGTTAGGACTCCATGTTGGACTGTTGTCTTTGTCAATAAGTACTGTGGGCATAAAAAAATACAAATTTATTATTGGTCCAAAAGGTCTTTTGATCAGCAATGAGCATAGTAATTTTAAAATAACAATTACGATTTTTAAATGTGGTGTATTCATTCTGATGATGGCGTAAGTAATGCCGAAACGTGTCAAATACACCACATTTAAAAATCGTAATTGTTATTTTAAAATTATTATTGGTCAGAGTAAACCTATGAAACAAAGAACAATGTTTGTGGGACTCCTTGACGAGTCCTGGAATTTAAACTCATTTTTTCAGGGCCAGTCACGGAAAAGCCCTTGAAAATCGAGAAAAAGCCAAAGGTCCTGAAAAATGTGATGCAATGTATAGTTGTTTTGAACATTTTGACTAAAATGTGAAGAGCAGTATAATCAAAGTCTGAAGCATTCAGAAACATCAATTGTGATATTGTGATGTTGAAAATTGGCTTTTCATGCTTAAGAAAGTCCAGGAAATCTGTGATGAAAACATAGGATGAACCTAAAAGTACTAATGTACTAAAGTGATTTTCAAACCACAAATTTAAGGACTAACTACAATGATTCTTAATACAATAGGTTATTGCACATAAATATTGGCAACCTGCTCGTATTCCTTCATAAAAGTCTTCATTTTCCTATAAGAAAAAAAAWCTTCAATTAATCAATTTTGTGAATTACTACTAAATAGTGTTTAACAAAGCAAAACAAAGGAATTATGATAATTTAATACTATCAGTGATAGAAAACTAACCATAAATCTCTGTGATAACCTATACTCCATCTGTAAGCACTCAGCTAAGTTCATGGTGCCTCCATTTTGAAGTTGCCGCAATGTTACCTTACAAGATGATGGAGACTGAAATAATTAAATTGAAAAATCTGTTATTACTTTTAATACATTATTAACATGTGTATCATACAATAAAGCACATGGTCACACAAATCATAGTTAATAGATTATTAACTATGCACACATTTTGTGACATTATTAAAAATCATTTTAACAGTTAACTTACCATTTTGTTGATTGTCTGTTGGTGAAAATATTGGTTCAATTAAACATGGAATAGTTAAGTAAGATTATATTCAAATTAATTTTCTTATTTCCTGATGTCAATGAATAAATAATAAATAGTAGATAAGAGCAGCTAAAGACATCAATCTCTGATACAGCAATGATAACAAACTGATGAAAACATGCAGAAATTTTTAACAATACTAGCATGCATAATGGCTCTAGGGGAAGGGAAACCGAGATGGGAGGGGTAGGGGGAAAGAGGAAAAAACTCCAGCCACCAACC